TGTCTTTCTGTGCTTATCCTATTTCATTTAACATAAAATCCTCAGATTCCTTCATGTTGCTGAAGAATTCTTATTGCTAAAAAATATTGCACTGTGCATATATACCCGGCGTTCTTCAATCATCAGCTGATGAACTCAGGTTGAGTCCACAGCTTGACCATTATGAATAATAACTTAAGAAACAGAAGTATGCAAAATGATGTTACTTCCTTTGCATATATATCCAGTGGTGGGATTACTGGATCACATTGTAGCTTTATTTTTCAATAATTTGAGGAACTTCCATATTGTTTTTAATAACATCTTCGTTAATTTACACCATCACCTAGAGGGTGCAAGGATTCTCTTTGCTCTACATCCTTGCTAGCCCTTCTTTAATTTTCTTATAGTAGCCATGTACCAAATGTTTGGTGCTCTAGAGGAAGAGTGGGTGAGTGCAGTTTTTCTTTTCCTTTCTTATCTGTTATTCAGGCCTGTGAATGACATTTGATGTTATATTAAACTTCCGTTTCTCTGAAGATTTCTTTTTATCATACATATCATTGGCATTAACACACTGAATCATCATAAAGCTATGAGGGACACAGGGAGCCATCTAGACTTCAGTATTGTATACATCATCTTAAAGATAAACAGTCTCATTTGGTCACTTGCCTAAAATCAGTGTTTGCCTCTTGACTCTGAGCAATCCAGCCACCTTCCACACACAGCATGTCTGTGGAGATTACTACTGAGAAATGGGATCACCTGAGAAACAATCCAGCCACCTTCCACACACAGCATGTCTGTGGAGATTACTACTGAGAAATGGGATCACCTGAGAAACAATCCAGCCACCTTCCACACACAGCATGTCTGTGGAGATTACTACTGAGAAATGGGATCACCTGAGAAACAATCCAGCCACCTTCCACACACAGCATGTCTGTGGAGATTACTACTGAGAAATGGGATCACCTGAGAAACAATCCAGCCACCTTCCACACACAGCATTTCTATAGAGGTTACTACTGAGAAATGGGATCACCTGAGAAACAATCCAGCCACCTTCCACACACAGCATGTCTATAGAGGTTACTACTGAGAAATGGGATCACCTGAGAAACAATCCAGCCACCTTCCACACACAGCATATCTGTGGAGATTACTACTGAGAAATGGGATCACCCGATAATGGGAATGAGCGAGGTAAGATTGCACAGCTGCTGCTTCGGTTGAATACTACACAAGAAACATCTTATAGGATCTCTGGTTCTTTCTAGATAATACCTCTGATCTTCTGTTATTTTCTAATAAATAACTACCACGGGGGACGATAGAACACAATAATCTAAATGTTTATCATTTACTGATTGCCAGTTTATATTATCCACTGATAAAAGTTTAGAGATGGTCTTTCTGTGGCAGATCCAAGCAAGGGTAGCAAATGTGTATTTTAATGAGCTATAACAATAACTTTTCATCTTACTTTTTCTTGGTATGTGTTTTGTGTGTGTGTTCAAATTTATTTCTTTTCTTTTTCTTAAGTCTGAAAAGCTATTTTGCTACAAGTTCGCTTCTTTTTACTTTGATCCACAGGGAAGTCTTTATCCTCTGTTTAAACAGCAGCTGGTTACTATGGAAATCGTTTTAATGCCACTGAATCAATATTTTGATTTTGCTGACATTTAAGGTAAAAAGAAAAGACAGGCTGAAATGGGTAAAAGTCACTTTTTATCTGTTATAATGTTGATAGCTAGGAAATTATAAAGAAAACACATGCTCTATAATGAACTCCAGTTAGTTCCTGATTATAAAGAACTGAGTAGTCACAAAAGAACAATCTATATATTTAAATAATTTTGGATTTGAGTAGAGACATATGTGCATATGCACCCGGACTCCAGATTTTTCCCCCATCTCTGAACTGGGCTCTGATTCAATCTTGTCATTACTGAGGTCATAACTTTTTAGAAGACAGTTGAGGGCATATAGTTATACAATTGACCTTTTCTCATGTGTTCCAAAGACAAAGTTAACTTTCCATAGTGAATGCTATTCTGCAGAAGCCTACCATTTCTGTATTGGAGCCTAACCTTCATCTAGTCCATTTAATACTCTCATAGACCCATACAGCTGAGGGCTTCCCAGTCTATCCTGAGAGCTTTTCTGAATAAAAACATTGAATTTTGGTCTGGTGTTTCATGAGTCTATCAAGTAATTTTTCCTGTCTAACTCAAGTCCTTGCTGCAGTAACTTAGTCACTTTCTCATTGCTGCTTAGTAACTAGCCCGGAGAATCCTTGATACTTAGATAGTGAAGGGACTGGGGAGAGAATAATGGCCTTCTGGAGTTGGCCGCCCAGTATGTCCTAAATGAATGCTAATCTGTTCTATATGTAAGGCAATTGATAGTTGTTCAAATATTGTTTCTGAGGGAAGGTGACATGATTTTTTTCCTGTAAATACCCCAGTTGTCCCTCCCCTTTTGGGGGAGGCTGCTCTGAGGTGTATATGCTCTATTCCTTGTGGAATTCTCTGCAGAGCATTGACTTGTGGCACAGTTTTTACTGACTGCAGATGAGTTCCTGATTTAGCTGGAACTTGCTGTGTAGACCAGGTGGGTCTTGCATGATGGGTGTCCTCACTCTACCCACCCTTCTTTCTTGCTGGCTCACTCCTGGTTGTTTAGGTTTCATTACTCAGAAATCCCCATCCTGATTCAGTAATCATCCTTTGCAAGCGGTCTCATGTAATTGTTTATGGAGTTCTGGCAGAAGTAGATGGTTGACTTTTGGACAGAGGATCACACAGAATAAAGAGAAAGGAAATACACAATGCATCAATATTTGAAGAAACCTAAGAACAATGTTTACAATGCACAAATGTCATGTTTCCCAGTCCCTACTAATAAAGAAACCAAACACCTATGTTGCT